ACTTTTATTTCATTTTATAAAGGCTTTTTGTCGGGCCCACTCATTCCCTAAGCTACATATAAATACTTGAACGCCACATAACGTATTTTTCAAAGGTTGATTATTGAGAAAAACCACTGCTTTCATATTCTTTTCTTCTTCTGAAGCATTCAACCTTCATTGTTAAATTTGATCTGTTCTTGGTGGTGAAAAACATTAGTTTCACAATCCAAATACCAAACTACTGTTTCCTACATATCTTCAGAGTTTCTGAAAACCAAGGGAAGGTGATTGAAGTTTCCGTCGTTGAAGAATGCGGTGTTCTTCGTGAATTCATAGGAGATAAATGATTTCACAAAGTTAGGAGTTGTTGTAGGAGAGCACAATTCATGAGAGTTTTGGAAATTGTAGTTTGGAGTGGTGCATGAGCATATAATCTGTTGGAATTACAGTCAGGAGATCAGATAACACGTGTCGTTGTCTAGTATGGTAGACTGTAAGTTATAAATCGTTTATAGTGGATTGTTGACTGGCAAATTGTCTGAGATTTTTCCTCAGTTGGGGTTTCTCCATGATCATACAATGCGTTATTTATTATTTTATTTACTGTATTCAAACATAGGATAATCAGATTTTATGCTTAATCATCTAAAGATAATTAATTAGTGACTTGTTACTACTAATTATAAAATTTTAATTCTGCATTTACACCCATTCACCCTCCTCTAGGTGTAGTTTAGATTGAACTGCGTACTTTCGATTATAGTGTTATATTATTTTAGGAACAATGTCAAAAGAGAAGTTGGTTACCTTGGAGTGGTGATTAGCTCGAAAGCCGAGAGAGTGTAGGGTGGTCCCGTTGGGTTGGATCCATTTTATCAAATTGAGAAGTTTTTAGGAGATGATGTAATTGATTCTCAACTTATTTTTCGTTCTACTTAATAGAAAGAAATGAGAAAAATGTTATAAGAACAATTCATTTTATTCTATAAGTAGAAATCGATCCTAAAACTTATAGAGAAACTTTGAATTCTCGAGATAGCATTGTGTGTGTGCGTGTGTATATATATATATATTTTTTTTTCTTTTATTTTTAATTTTTATTTTTAAATTCATAATTCTAGAAATACAAATTGGTTCACCAAATGATTGCAAAGCAGTATAATGATTTAATTATGCAAGACAATAGAAAACTAGAAATGTCCTTCAAATGATGAGAGAGAAATATGGGCTTATGAAAACATGAAAGTTGAATTAAAGTTACAAAATGATGGCTAGAACAAAATGAAATTCTAATACCTTAACGAGCAGTGCAAGACTTCAATCTCAGAAAGAAAGCAATGCAAATGATGTGCTTTTGGGAATTGGGGTTGCAATGAGGTACAAGTAGGAAAACATCTCGATTATTAACCTAATGATGGTAAATTAGACGTAATTTGTGCTCGTTAATTAATGAGACTTCATATTTGTCCATTTAACTTATTTAAATCCTTGAATTGATCATTCACCTTATATTAAATTACATAAATTTTTTTTTCCCTTCTTTCAAGCCAATGTAATGTAATAATTTTATGCATATTAAAGGGTAATACTTTTTATGTCCTCCTAACTAATGTGCATTTTACTTTTAAATAAACAAAATTTCCTTGTAAGGTCGAAAACAAACTAAAAAATTAGTCTAGCCCCCACCCCCCGGGGCTAAATCCTAACTCTGCCCCTAATGGTGTTTATCGAGATGTATCTTGCCGGGACAGCAATCACTTGGTCACATGATCAAGGTTTGCATGGAAATGGTTATCTTCTACAACTGTGGTGGTCGGGGTGACATATTACTCGAGTGTCCCTCGGGTAGATTTATCGATCGCTGGCCACCAGATACTAAAGATTCACCAATTAATGATGTTTTAACTACCAAAGAATTAATGTTTTGGAAAAAAATTCATCGGTTTGGATGATTTGAGCAACTTATTAATAAGCCAGCCATCCTTCTAGGAGCTCTATCTTCTTCTTCTTCTTCCTTTTTTTTTTTGTTCTCAAAACGACTTGAATAGAGTGGTGGTTCATGGTGTCTTTTCAAAGTTTCAATGTGTAAGCCGTGGCAAAATGTATTTTTCATTTACACAGTCGTCTATGAATGTTAAAATAGTTGATTTATTCTCTTATTCAGAAAAGTAGTTACTTCTATTATATGATAATTACAGTCGTACAAGACTTGTTTGATAAGATAGACACTACAATATGAAGTTGTATAATGCAATGTGTATTAAACAGAGTGAGTATTATTGACTTCAAATTCTATCCGATCGATTGGCTAACAGAAAATCCCAACCACTTCTTTATTCACCTATCTATTACGGGTACACTAGAACATACCTTTTAGACTGCAAAGATTATCGACCAGGAAAAAAGTTCAATCACGTTTGTAGTACAAGTATATCAAGGGACCAAGTAGTTGCTTCAAGCTGGTGGTCCTGGGAATGTTAAACAGAGTGATGGACACTCTTTTATAGGATATTTAAATATTATATCCTTTTTTGTTGGAGTTGGAATCAATCTCTCTTTCTTGGTAAACAGAGTGATGGACACTCTTTTATAGGATATGTAAATATTATATCCTTTTTAGTTGGGAGTTGGAATCAATCTCTCTTTCTCTTCACTCTTTTGATGTTATGATGATGCTTTATAGTTCAACTTTCCGTACTATTATTATGAAGTGCTAAGAAATAGGGAGAAGTGAGAAAAAGTTCTTTATAGAAAGAAAAGAAATAATAAATTGCCTTTCTTGAATGCTAACATTGCAACTTAGTGCATATTTTGAAAGTATATGTGTCTCCTCATACTTTATCATTATTCCCAACTGTATATCAACTTGGATAATCACTATCATTGTAAATAGAACAATTTCAATGGTATCTATTAATGCATATTCAAATTAAGTACGAGCATGTATGACCAAGTTGAATTGTCTAAAGACAAGTCAAGTGGCGATCGATTAAAAAGCTTTGAGTCAAAATTTTGCTAAGCAACATATGCAATGAGGTAGACTCAAACTTATTTTGTTTCTATGCTCAACCAACCAATGCCCAAGGTATTATTGATCTCAAATATGTCCGATCGAGTGGCTAACAAAAAATCCAAATCACATCCTCGTCCACCTAGGTATCACTTGCATGCTGGAACACAAAGTTAGGTTGTAAGAGTTATCGATCGAGAAAAAGGTTCGACAACCATTTGCAATACAAGTATATTGAGGGATCAATTTTGGCAACTTTATGAGTTTTGTCCGACGGCCCAACAAAGCAAGTAGTTGCTTCAAGCAGGTGGTCCTAGGAATGTTAAACAGAGTGATGGATACTCTTTTATAGGATATGTAAATATTATATCCTCTACTGTTGGGAGTTGGAACCAATCTCTCTTTCTCTTCACTCTTTCGATGTTATGAATATGCTTTATAGTTCAACTTTCTATACTCATATTATATGAAGTGCTATGCAATAGAGAATATGAAATAGTTACAGAAAGAAAAGAAACGATACATTACCTTTATTAATGCTAACATTTCACCCTAGTGCGTATTTTGAAAGTATATGTCTCCTCTCTAATGATTCTTACTGAACAAATTTTTTTTTTTTTTTTTATGAATTGACTCTGCATAGGAGATGAAAACGAGTTATTAATTTTTTTTATTAATTCGGTAAAATTGAATGTATTAGACACACCATTACGAATTAAAAGGATGACATATTCTAGTGTATGAGATGTGGTGATGAATTATTGAATATATAGCATACCAAATATGCAATGCCAAAGAATAGTGGCCTTATACTTTATCATTATAGCCAACTATATATCTACTTGGGTAATGGCTATCATTGTTAGTTTTATTTTTTATTTTTTCAATGGGATATATGGATGCATATTCAAATCAAGAGATATACTCTCTACAAATTGAGTCATGTGACGGTACGAGCATATAAGACCAAGCAGATCGACTTGATACAATACACAACATAAGCAATGAGGTCGACTCAACCCTATTTTGTTTCTATACTCAACCAACCAAGGAAAAAGGTAATCATCATGATGTTCTTATTTGTTTGGTAAGGCTTTGGAGTAGAAGTATTAATCACTAACATATTTGTTGCATTAAACTAGACAAATTAAGAAAATGATGTTTGTAACAGAATTTGTCAACATTTTGTCCAATATGTCTGGTCAATCTAGCGTATTAAGAGTAATTTTAACAATTCAATTTCTTTTTTCCAAAACAAATCTTCTAATGTAACAAAGTTCAGAAAAAAAAACTAAACACTTGTTTGAGCCCCATTTTGGAAAAAAAAATGTATTTTAGAATAGTACTTTTTTGGAGTATTTGTGGTTTGAAGTGCTTTAATCACAAATTGTATTTTGTGAGACAAGTGCCATAATTTGTTAGCACCGTTGTGGGGCAATTTTGTCCTCAAGAGAGTGTTTATCAATTGTCTCGGAGTCTCTTTCGTCTTTCCCTCTCCCTCTCCTTCATTTCATTTCTTTTTCTATTCACTATTAAGTTTAATTACGTTCGGGCGAATTAAACTTTATCATTCCCTTTGTCAATTAAAAACTAACCATTTCACTACACAATTAACCAACAAAACATGGGGCTCAAACAAGAAACTATGGGTCCTGTGGGCCCGGGCGTGCCATGTCAGCAACTGATTCCAACTGGCACAGTGCACTTTTCTTGAAATCTTGAATGCCCCAATTCCATCCAGGTAGGGACAAAAGTAAAACCCAAGAAATCTCCCATGCGCAACCCACTAAATCTTGAATGCCCCAATTCCATCTAGGTGGGGACAAAAGTAAAACCCAAGAAATCTCCCATGCGCAACCCACAATTATTTTTTATTTATTGTTTGTCAGTTGGCATTTATAAGATCACTTACCAAATGGGATGCAAAACCTACATGTCTATATAAGTTTATGTTATTTTCTTGGTCATAAATTGAAGACATTTGTAGAGAATTTGGAGGCTCAACTCTATGGATACACGAAGAAAGAATTTGTGGGCAATTTTCTTCTTTGCTTTGGTTTTGATTAGATTGAGAGGTGGTGAAGGGAGTGGTGACATTGCAAAATCACAAACCAAGGTCACTTCATTGGTTTCAACTGAGGACAAAAGAAATAAGACTTCAAACGAAGTTGTAGTTAATAACAAAAGAAGGAACAATGGAGGGGGTGGAGGCGGTGGAGGTGGGGGAGGGGGAGGGGGAGGATGGGGAACGGGTGGTGGTGGAGGAGGTGGAGGTGGAGGAGGAGAAGGTGGAAGTGGTGGATGGGGATGGGGAGGTGGTGGGGGTGGTTATTGGAGATGGGGTTGTAAGAAACCAGGCAAAAGAGGGCACCATTTGCACAAGAATAGAGTTTCGGATAATGGAGAGTACGAGATGGGGGAATTTGCACAATGCATGGTTAAAGGGAGGTGTAGAGGCATGAGGCTGGCTTGTCCACTCCACTGCGGCGGACCGTGCTTCTACGATTGCCGGCACATGTGTAAAGCTCATTGCAGGCGCTAATAACATGTTTAGTACGTTGAATTAATTAATAATAGTTGACAGTACAAAACGACAAAAAAAAAAAGTTAAATTCTTGTTTATTGTATTGCATGGTGTTATTAAATATCGCGAGGGGAAAGATGAACATGATTATTATATTTTGGAGTTTTACATGAACAAGGAGGTTTAACAATAGATTTGCTTTCGTGAAAGGTTTGCTTTACTCATTTGATTTTGATGAAAATTTAGAGTCTCAAGGTTTAATTGCCAACTTTTGGTCATGTTTGATTGTTTCCATCTTAGTTTTCACAAAAGAATAAATATAGTCAAAATTACAAAATACAAATAACAATTTGTCTAATAAAAATTCATTCCCCAATGTATTCAAATGATCAAAAAGTAAATAATAAAATAAGAACAAAGACGAATTCACTTTATCCCATTAGTTTTATTTGCTGGAGGCATTATTTTGCTTTGTAGATAATTAAATGTTGGGTTTATTAATTTGTTGTGTGGGTCTACATATGCAATTAATTGTGTATAAGATTATTTTAAAATTGAACTCAATTAAAGTGATCTAATAAATAATTAAATTGTTGGGTTTATGGCATCAAAATAAAGTGTAGGTCAGATTATATGTGTAGAGATCAGATTCATTAGGGTTGTATTTGACAATGAGCCAAATACATATGAAAATTATAAATAGGGTTATGGTCCACAATTCATATGCAATTTCTCATTTTGTGTGGCATCACATCGACATAAGAATACAAAAGAAAACATATTGAAGAGAAATATCAAGAAACCCACAATCAAGAATAAAAAAAAAAAAAAAAGATTGGAACAATTAAATTGAAGAACAAGACCATAAAGATCATGGAGCAAGAAGTAAAAATCAAGATCAACAGCTCAAGAATCAAAAGAGCTAATAATCAAGATTCAAGATAAGGAATCAAGATCCAGTAATGAGAAATTATTCTCAAAGAATTAAGGTATGTTCCGCATTATTAATTTTCTTGATGATTTGACATAGGGGATCTTGCCAATTACGCAATTAGGTTTTCTAATTTTATAAAGTTTAAAATTTCATAAAATTTCAACAACTGGTATTAGAGTCAACTCCATGTTAAATTATTGAGAATCAAGAAAGGATTTTTGGGTTGAAATTCATAATTTGAAATTCTCAATTTTGGGACATGAATTTTGGCCTTAAATTCCAAATTTTAGATTTTGGAAATATTTTTAATTTCAGTTTTTTTTTTTTTGTACTTCCAAAGAATTAAGGAATCGCCTCTCAAATGAATTTAAATATGAACCTAGCGGTATCAAATTCCACGGAAAGGGTAACCAAAAATACCCCTATAGTGTACTATTTTTGCTACAGAAGCACCAGTTTTCTCCTGAAGCTGCTTCACAAGTTGTCTCTGTTTCAACCCATATAAATAATCCGGAAAAATCTAATATATATATATATATATATATATCAATTTCAAATCTTGGTACTTAATATTTATTTTAGATTACTATATTTTAAAAATAAATTAGTTGAAACAACATGTTACCAATGTAATCTCTCTTGGTTAAATTAATTTATTTGAAATATTAGGAATGTTGTGTGTACGTAATTCATGCGGATATTGACCGACCCAAATGAAGGTTAATATTTGCCCGAATTATTTACACACATGTGGTGATAAATATGTGACAATTGTAAAGTTTTTTATTATGTGAACATTGAGTCAGTCCAAAGATAGACTTGCTGTTTGATTGGATTTATTGTCAATATTTGATTATTACACCAAGAGTGCTACTTACAAGTTGCTATTTCTATCCAAAAACTAAATATCAATATTATGCTCGGTCTCTTGTGATGGAGTTCACCATTATTAGAAATTATTGATTGTCCAATACAAATTCATATGTGAACATGTTAATTAAAATTAAGTTTTCTATTTAGTTAATCCATCAACTTCTACAATATCTGTTAACGTCAATTTAATTCTTGTGCTAGAACCGGTCACAGTACGATCCGGTTCTAAAGAGAATGGAACCAAACCAAGAATTATCGTAGCTAAACAGTTCAATTTGGTTCCGTACCATAAAATGTTACAAACAATGCAACATTAATCTAACTAATGATTCGAGTTCCATCTTAGTTTCACAAAAGAATCAATATAGTCAAAATTAAAAAATACAAATAACAATTTGTCTAATAAAAATTCATTCACTGATGTATTCAAATGATCAAAAAGTAAATAATAAAATAAGAACAAAGAATTCACTTTTTCCATCCCATTAGTTTTATTTGCTGGAGGCATTATTTTGCTTTGTAGAGAATTAAACTCTCTTTTGGTCAAATAATTCAAAAATGATTTTAGTAAATTATATCTCTTTGTAATAAAACTGAACAAATTTTCCCGAAGATGCCAATGATTGAGAAATTCAATTCTGATTGTTGTATGTCATATTCTGAGTAATTTAACTTGAAAAAAGTTGCCTTATGGTTTTTAAACTAATTTGGACGTTGTTTCCTAAAACTACCGATGTGATGAAATAAATTTCATTTTCACATTTTTCACATCTTTTAATATACATTTTTCACTTCTTTCATTAAAGTTAAAATATACATTTTTCACATCTTTAACCTATAATTCAATCTATTTGGTTATCTTTAGCAATTAGAAAGCATTTTAGTAATTTTTCGGATTAATAGAATTTTGAGCGTTATAGTTTAGCATTTTAGTTACAAATTTGTAATTTTATTTTTTTGTGTAAATATTTACATTTGAGCATATCGCATGAGCAAAAATAAAGTTAGTATTTTCAAGGTATGGAACGAGAGAATTTCTTAATGATTTTATTTTAATGCAAATTTTATTCATGCTAATTAGTTGCATGATCCTACGGATTTTTCCTCCCACGTCTTATAATGAAGCATAATAGTTGTTTATGCATAGTATATACCGCGTCATACATGACTGAAATTAGATAGACTAGTAGGAAAATGGTAGGATTTAATCCTCAAGACACAATTTACGCTTTATATCTGCAGTTTTATTTATTTATTTTTTCTGGTGAATTAAAGGATAGGGACTTTAAGAAGAAAAATATTAGAGGGTTTATCTTAATTTATTTCTATGTAGGGGAAAATACGAGTTCTTTGAGCCTAATAAATGATCAATGAATCTCACACAGTATGAAATAATTAAAGATTTTGACAAATATTTGTTCCACATCGAGTGAACACAGTCAAATGAAGGGCTAAATGATGCGTACGTGGTCTAGATGAATTTATTGCAAGCAAAGGAAGTACTTGGGACTTTTAAGCTGTGTGAAGACCCTTAGCATTAACTGGTTACCAAAGGCTATTAGGCTAGAACTCGGTAAAAAATTCTTAGAGGTGATTCCTGACTTTAAGAGAAGAAGGATTTTGATGTTATTCCGTACAATAATTGGTTGGGATTATGAATGGAGATTTAACTAATCATGTCAGCCAATCAATGTAATACTTGCGCTGAGTTAATTGTTCCAATTGTCACTGAACTTGTGTCTATGCTTTCAATTACTCACTAAAATTTAAAATGTCAAGTTTTGACTATTAAACTTTAATAAACATTGGAAATTACTTACTGATATGACGTCTGTTTAAAATCCCTAATGAAATTGATGATGTGCTTGACGTAATGTACACGTGGCGTTCTTTCACGCAGTTAAACTTTGAGATGGTCGAATTTTGACCATTAAACTTTAGAAAATGTCATCGATTGCTTACTAAATTTTGAAAAACATCGTCTATTAATCACTGAATTTGCAAGTGGTCGAATTTTGGCTACTAAACTTTGAGATTATCGAATTTTGATCACTAAACTTTGAAAAATGTCTTCTATTCCTCACAATAAATTTGAATTTAATTAAAATTTATTGTTAAAACTTGGATTAAAATTTGAATTTAATTTAATTTAAATTATTATGTATTTCGTTGTAAATTAAAATATTAAATTTCAAATTTAATTTAATTCTAAAAACAAATTTATTGTATATTTCGTTGAAAATTGACATATTACGATAGAACACTACTAACTGAGATTGTGAAAAAGAGTGTAGGATTCCATTGGGGGATTGAACAAAAATATGCATCTAATACTATTAAGAATATGTTGTGGTCTGTATCTATTTTAGCATTGTCTGACTTTAACAAAATTTTTGAGATTGAATGTGATACCTCAGGTATAGGAATTGGAGCTGTTTTAATACAGGATATGAGACCAATAACTTATTTTAGTGAAAAGTCAAGTAGGGCTTATTTTAGTGAAAAGTCAAGTAGGGCAGCTTTGAGTTATCGTACATCTAACAACGAGTTTTATGCACATGTTCGAGCTTTGGAGAAATGGCAGCACTACCTATAGCCTAATAAGTTTGTAATCCACACCGATCATGAGTCATTGAAACATCTCAAGGTAAATCAAACAAGAAGTATGTGAGGTGGATGGAGTTTATTAAGGCCTTTTCGTAAGTCATTCGGTATAAATAAGGTAAAGAGAACATAGTAGTTGATGCATTATCAATGAGGTACGTACTTTTTACTTATTTTAGTGCAAAGGTTTTTGGGTTTGAATATGTTAAGGATATGTATGCTAATGATCCAGATTTTTCTAACATATATATAATATATATCATGTGATAAAGATACAATTGATAAATTTTATAAGTATGATAGATATTTGTTGAAGGAAAATATGTTATGCGTTGCTAATTGTTCAATGCGCAAATTGTTAGTACGTGAAGGACATAGTGGGGTTTGATGGGACATTTTGGCACAAAAAGACCTTAGACACGTTGCATAAACATTTTTATTGGCCTAAAATGAAAATAGAAGTTAAATCACAATTGTAGTAATGCATTACTTGTGAAAAGGCTAAGTTTTAGGTTTTACTACAAGGTTTGAATACACCTTTACTTCTAGTGAGTGTTGGGTTGACATATCTATGAAATTTGTGCTAGAATTGCCTAGAACAAAAAGG